GTTGGATGAACTGTACAAAATCCCTACATTCTTGATCTGACAAAGTTGTGTTTACTGTTTTTAAAACTGATTTGGAAATCCACTGCTTCAGGGTTTTATTTTGAAATGAAGTTGTTGGGACGCTGATATGCTATTTCAGATAGTAATTCCACTTCCATCTCTGCCTGTTAACCCTGTTTTAATGAAAATGCATCTTTAGGACCAATATGGATGCTCCAGCAGGTAAACGCTGACAGAAGCTGATAGATGATCTTGCAGCGCCAATTGCTGACTGAGAAATGGTACAAACAACTGGTAATATTGCAGGCGAGATTCAAAATTGGAACAGCTGTGATAAAGCACCTTTTACAGCAAAACCTAAACATTTACTCCTCATAAGTCTCCACCATTTCACTTTTAGAAATATTGTTAAATATGTTTAGATTCCTGTTTCTTTATTTTCTTCAAAAGGCTGACAGGTTCTGTAGAGTTGTAGCCGAGGAAACAAAGAAGCCATCGAATTTCATTTTTTCCTTCTATACCTGGTCACCCAAGGAAGCAGAGAAAATGTTTGCAATTCTGAGCACTGCTTCAAATCTAAATTATACTCCAAAACAGTTTATCATTGACAAATGCAAATCTCAGTTAATTTCAAATTCTAATTGTTCAGAAGCTGCATGTAAATTATTTTCTTTTGGCCAGTTAAAGAAAATGACCACAATTTCCTGTGGCCAAGGTGTAATGGTATAAAATAATTTGATGCGTTTGGTGGGATGTTGACAGCAATGGTTTTATTTTGTTACCTTTATCATTTAAAACAAATTGCCCTTCATAAGGGAACTGAATCAATACTTAGAGAAAAGATTGCAGGTATCCAGGGAAAGAGCAAAGGTGTGGAACCCAGCACAAAAATGACTTCCTTTTGAACTGAACAATTTTATGATTCTCTATACAAAACACAACAGAAAATCATAGTTTCTTTAAAATCCTGATGTTCTATTAACGTAAATAATATTTGTATCCCATAATATGATACACAATGTCACTCATAAATATTTAACTATTTCATATAATATCTTTTCTATTTTAAATTGTACTTTATGATCCTTAGCTCAGAAAAAAAACAGTTTTGATCAGTAAACTTAATAGAGTGGTAACACTAGGTGGCAGTGAGAGGATATCTGATGAACCACAATGAGGAACTGATATATATCTTCCTACGTCTATAATGATGGTAGGTAAAGGTAAATGGGGACAGATTCAAGATTTTAACTGCATGTTACTACATTACAATTTTGGGGATTATACTTGATTACTTGATCACTGAATTTTTAAAATGGTGAAAGTAAATTCATAAGAAAGGTTTTCCATTTCATTGAAAAAAATCTCTCAAAGGAACTGAGTTTTCTGCAAGCATTTGGTGTTTAATTTGCCAAGCGTTCTTTTGCTTCAGATACTGTACCAAAATGAGAAATTAATTGTTTGGGATGCCTGTATCTTTAACAGATTTTTGATGTATACATGGATCTTTGCCTTCAATTCCTTTTCATTGTTGTTGGCAAGAACTGTATTTAATTGTGTTCCAATTTCTTCCACAAATGAGCTCCGAACTTTCTGGGAGACAGGGTTATGAACTCAGGAATCAATCTTTAAAAATGAAATGTGAGTTCTAGTGCAATGTTTTGCGAGTTTTTAGTTTATTTCCTGTCAAGGCTCCTTGATTACAGGATGGCCTGATCCAAGCTGTGACTTGTTATTCTAATCACTTTCCAAAAATCATAAATCTTTTTCAAATACAAAAAAATTTGATTTTAAAAAAAGGTGACAACTAAACAGTGAGCCAGTATTATTTAAAGCTGTTATGCAATTTGCATTAACAGTGGTGGAATGTAGCCTTAGGTCCATTACTTATGATCCAATGAGTACTTTAACTTTGACACTTTGTTGAAGTGAAAAAATGCCATTGTTGTGCATCTCTTAGTTGTTAGCAGGGGACAATTGGTATGCATTTCCTCTAGGTGGAAGAATTGATAGCATGGGGAACATTTAATTCATTCACTTTTGATTTTCCTCACATAAACATGTAAAACAGTAATTAAAAGAAGGCAACATTTTACAGAGGAATTGGAATGATTTAGTCTTGACCAGGAGAAATCTGATAACCTTTTCTGAAAGGAACAGTCACTGCCTGGAGAAATGCAAGAGAAATGGAGATAGCCTTCAATCAGACAGCTAATATTGGGCAACTGACTGGTTTGCTATATGCATTTGTGATGATTTTCCAGTATCAGGTCAACATTTCATAAGTACCAAAATGTGACAAACAGTGTGAATAGTTCATGCATTGCTCAAGGATTTTTTTTTAACAACACTTGTAAATTCCACTCAGGCTCCATAATCAATACAAGCATAGAAGTAACACAGAGCAGTTAAGATTATTCATCAGAAATGTTTACACCTTGTTTTACTAAAATTACTTTAGGAAGATTTGTTCAATTTGTTGAATAAGTTGTGCCATTTCCATTTAACATTAAGTGAAGTATAAAACCCAAGCCATTCCTAGTCCTATCAGAGCTTAGAGGAATAAGTAAGAAACATGGCAGACTAACAATAAAACCTTTTGCATTTTCAACGTAGTAAACAAACTGCACTTAGCCTGTACTGTGGAATGTATTTTATTCTGAAAACACATGTAGAGTATCTCTAGGTCTGCAGAATAAAGTGCATAAATCTGAATTGAAACTGGTTGATGGAGGCTCAGCAGAGGATGATAATGTGTAGACTTTACATCATGATGGAATTAATACAGGGAATGAATAGTCTGATCATTTCCTAACTTTCAATATCAAAGTTACATCCAGGACATGGGTCAAAACAGATGTTTAGACTTTAGCTTTGCATTTAGATTTACTTTGCAAATCTACTTTTATCAACTTCACAGTTGAAAATCTTGAATTGTTCAGATTTTTGTGAATTTCCAAATACAAAACAAAACTAAATTAAGAATTTGAAGAATTGGGAGAAGATCTGTTTGAGCAGCTACCTCTGTGTTTAGCAGTTCAACTGTTCAAAATAAAATCAAATTAACTTTTAATTTTTTTTGTCAAGAAGAGATATCTTGCTGAGTCACCTGTTTCAATCACAATGCACAATCATATTACGGATTACATTTACTTGTAGAATCAAAGGGTACCGATCGTTAACTTTGTTTCATACTTCATATTGTGCTTTGAAAAAACCCTGCATTTGATCTACATTCACATAACTTTATAAAGTCGGTACCTTTTTTTACTGACTAAAATTATGTACAAGAGTTTTGGAGATTTGAACTCTGGTCCTGCTAATATTAGTTCATATTATATCTGTTAAAGTGACTTTTAAAATTTAATATGCCTTCTGGATACATTTCCTACTTTATCTCAGTATTGTAGACTAGATATGATTTGAAAAATCATATGAGAATGTTAAATATAAATTCATGGAAATTTAAGAGTTTCCTTGTTCAAAAGGTTATTTAAAGTAAACAGCACATGTACTGCCAGTTTTCTGTTAATTGTTCATGTCAGATGTGAGATTATTGTTATAAATTCCAACACTGCCTATCTTTATTTTTTATTGGTCTAATCGTCTGTTATCTATAAAATTATTAGTCAGAAAACATGATCTGTAAGCTCTTAACATGACTGAAAAGAAGAAAGTTGCTGTTTGCAAAATAGGCACAGTCCTTAGTGTGTCTTGAATGTGTGTGTGCTGTATGTGAGGAGCAGAATGCAATTTTTAAGCTTCCAAACATTTAATGACAAAATACAAGCACAAAGTTGTATTCAATTTCCTATATTCATCTTTTGATAATTCTTTGCACTGACTAAAAATGCTGAGGTCATGTTCATCAAGCCACAATGTCTTTGCATTGGTAATATCTCTACAGTTATTAGACTGAAGTGTGCTTTGGAAAGGAATATCATGATGTTTTGGAGCTAATGACAAGGTTGTGGAGTGTAGCTGCTGCTTTAATGTAGGGGATACGTAGAATCCAATTTGCGTGCAATACGGCTCCACATCCAGCAATAGGATACCTGACTAGATACTCTCTTTTTTTTCAGCGTTGTTTGTTGAAAATAAATATTGGCAAGGACAACAGGAGAAGCCTCCATCTTTTTAACTCGTGGTATAGGATCTTTTATCATTTAGCTGGGAAGGTGGAGGTGAGATTGTGCTGGCTGTGGGAGAAGGTTGGTTAACCATCCCATTAGTGGGGCAGTGTTTCTTTAGTACTTCACTGAAGTATTATGATGGATTATGTCTCAAGCTCTGGAGTTTGATTTGAACCATGATCTTCTGCCTAAGTGCTGCCACTGAACCAAGGCTAACACTGTTTTTGGTAGGGATTGAAGTTTCTGAACTTGACCGTTGCTGATTTGATATTCTGCAATACCCAGGATATCTATAGGTGGCACAACAGTCCTTTGCATTGAAAGAACAATTTTTTTTGCATGATTTTACCAATATAGTTACTTGCCTTCCTCTAAAGATGATGGAGGGGCAAGTTACTTGTGCATTGTCAATATTCTACATAACTGTTTAGCATCAGTACAAATGTAGTCTTCTATATATGTTGCCAGTTGTAATGATTTTAGTAATTTTAATTTAATATAACTTTTCTGCATTGTTATTGATATGTGGCTGTGGTTTTACTCTAGCAGACACAATTGGAGATTAGTTAACATGAACTTAACCACAGCCAAAAGAACATAATTTTTCTGAAAGATTTTCAACTTCCAGCCTTCTTTGGATGTATGTCATATGAAACAATTAAACAGTTAAACATATTTTCACCTATAGTTAAAATAGTTCAAGGTAATGTGTGTTCTCCAGTAGTAGTTTGCAAAAAATACTGACAATTTCTGGGTATATTAAGGTTTGAATGATGACAGTAGCAGCAGTCCTGTCGGTGTGGGTTTAAATGTAAACACGTCTTGCAGCTTTATCTGAGTTAATTGTTGCATCTTTTCATGCCGCAGGTCGTGTTTCTTTCTTCACATCCGGCTCAGAAAATCTTCATTACGTGGAAAAGGTAGAGTGGGGCACAAGATATGCCATCACAGTCTCATTCAGCTGTGACCCTGCCCATGCCATTGAAGATCCTTCTTTATCATAGACTTGTTGGGGCCTTGAAGAACAGCTCCTAGAAATAAACTGCTAAAAATGAAAAAAAAAATGCAAATCAGTTGTATACTCAAAAACATTGATTTTTAAGTTAGATTGAAAGTCAAATGTGGAGGGAATACTACAGTATTGAAAATTGGCTTGGGTCCACTCTCTCAGAGCTTTAACTGTATTCCTAAAATAGTTTCTATTTAAAGGTATTATTTTTATGTTATGATCCTGAGTCACACTGTCAAATTATGTAATTATGATTTGACTGCAAAACATGGCGTTTAACACTGCTGTTCAATTGGTATTCTTGAGTTTATTGAAAGTGTTAACTAGCTGAGTATTGAAACAACTGTTAACTAGTTGTCTACTGCTGTTGGAATCATAGTTTAGAGTTCCGTTAGACTATTTTTAGTCTTTAATCAGAGCACCAGGTATTTGCCTTTTCATATTAAGTGTGATCACCTTTCAAATGTTCATTCATTAAAAATGACATCAGGTTGTCTCTCCAAATCTATTGTGCAGCCTTCAGGTCAGGATCGGCTCCTGCAACAAGTGCCATGACTGACCTTTATCAGTGTTTGTGCCAGCGTGGATTTGCTGAATGAATCTGACAGAATAATTAGTGAGTGTTTAATGTTTGATGGTCTACTTAACTGATTCAAGATTTCCTATACTAAACAAACCTGGGTAAGATAAATCTTTTCAAAAGTTCTGTCAACAGCCTGAACAAATTGTATTTATTGAAAAGCATTTAACTCTTCATTTACCACATAACAATAAATAAGTAGTGACACAGTTGTCACCCTTCATTCTGTTTCCCAAATTCTGTCTATATAAAATTAATGTCAGGATAATCTATCACAGCAGTTACAGTGTCCAGATTTCAGAATCACAGCAGCAGTGTTGTTGCTGTATCTTTGAGTTTGGCACTAAGAGTTTTAATTGCAATGATGGCTTTTTTTAAAAGTTCATTCATGGGATGTGAACATGGCTGGGCCAACATTTATTGCCCTTCCCTAGTTGCCTATGAAAAGCTGGTGGTGAGCTGCCTTCTTGAACCGCTGCAGTCCGTATGCTGGGGGTAGAACCACAATGCTGCAAGGGACAAAATCTAGCCAGGATGGTAAGTGGCTTGGAGGGGAACTTGCAGATGGTGCTATTCCCATGGATCCGATATCCTTGTTCTAGATGGAAGTAGTTGTGGCTTTGGAAGGCACTGTCTAAGGAGCGTTGGTGAATTTCTGCAGTGTACACTGCTGCTACTGAGTGTTGGTGGTGGAAGAAATGGATGTGGTGCCAGTCAAACGAGCTGCTTTGTTCTGGATGGTGTCAAGCTTCTTGAGTGTTGTTGGAGCTGCTCCCATCCAGACAAGTGGGGAACATTGCATCTGAATCCTGACTTGGGCCTTGCAGATGGAGGACAGGCAGAGGTGATAGTAATTCCAAGGAAAGGAGAAATTCCACTTTGGTGACCAAGCATTTCTAGCTCAGGTAATTCTGGAACAGAATTTCTTCAACGTGACATCCCAAACACGCCTGTTGGATTAATTACTAATCTACACTTCAATGACCAGTTCAACCCATGGAGTGTAATATGAAAGTAAGGGGCAGGACTCAAGTCTACTCAGAACTAGGCAGAAGCTGACATATTAATTTCATATCAGACATTTTAAGGCACCCAAGAAGACTTTCACCTGAAAATTTAAAGTAAGAAATTACCTCCTTAAATCCATTAAAGATATTAATATCTTGATCAGCAACAACTCCATTGGATGCACAATGGCATTTGAAGAGCTTTTAACTCCTAATGTATTGGTTTCACCTGTTGCTAAATATTCCCGTTACCAAAAATCCACACGCATTAAATCCCTTAACCGATTGGATTAATTGGGGTGGCATGGTGGTTCAGTGGTTAACACTGTTGCCTTACAGTGCCAGGGACCCAGGTTCAATTCCAGCTTCAGGCGACTGTCTGTGTGGAGTTTGCACATTCCCCCCCATCTGCATGAGATTCCTCCGGGTGCCCTGGTTTCCTCCCACAGTCCAAAGAAATGCAAGTTAGGTGGATTGGCGATGCTAGATTGCCCATATTGTTCAGGGATGTGCAGGCTGGGTGAATTAGCGATGGGAAATGCAGTGTTACTGGGATGGGATAGGATAGGATAGGGGTACAGGTCTGGGTGGGGTGCTTTTAGGAGAGTCAGTGTGGACCTGTTAGGCCAAATGGCCTGTTTTTGCTCTTTAGGGATTCTATGAGTTTGCCATTCAACCCTTTTGCATGTGGTATAAATTGGTGCTGTCTTTGAAATTCGGTATTTCTTGTGTCTGTCCTGATGACCACAGGATGAAATGCTTTGACAATAGGTCCCTTTCTTTCAGCAATATTCATTGAACAGTTCATTCAGAGGTTCTTTCACACTTAATGTGAAGTATTAGACATGCCCTATTCGAAAGACATTTGTGTTGAATTCAAGCAAATATTAAGAAAGTAAGAAAATCTCAATTTCCTAGATTGTATTTTCTCCTAAGGGAAAATTTATTTGATAAATTATTAGGTTTGTTAATTCTGGATATTGATCCTCAATGCCACCATTTTGACTTAAGATCAAATCAAACATCAGGTTTAAAAAATTTAATTTATTTGCTTACTGCTTCAGCTACTTTAATTTTGTAATTATTACTTTGTGTAGTCTTTCAATGTCTTCAGTTAGAAAGCACTTGTTAGCAAGAAAATAAAGCTCCTCAAAGTGTTTGCCCTCTCAGTGATTTGTGAAAAAAGTAAAATAAGAATTTTGAGTAGTTATCTTGTCCAGTCAAACAGAAATATATCCAGGATTGATACCAGAATCAAGGTGGGTTACCTTTAAAACTGAAAACCAGCATAACAAATGTTTTAATTTAGAATTTAACTTTTAACAGTTGTAAAAAGCAGATAAGTAATTATTTATAAAAATGAGATATAATGGAAACCAAATGTTTTTGCAATATATGTGATAGTTTATTAAGCACATACAATAGTCTAAACTTCATTTCTTCCCATTGGCAGCATAGAAAGTTGTTACCTTGTCAAAAATGTACCTGCTTAGTAGAAACACTGAAATATTCAGCAACATGCCAATGCGTCCTATTAGTGAAGCACAATTATTTGAGTTGAAAATAAACCCAACACGCAAGTGTTTTAAAACAAAACTACTGAGCTATTCTCAGTATGACTTACTCACTGTCCCTAAATTGGGGCTGGCTACAGATCTACAGATTTCCAAAATAGAAATGATGACAAAAATCATCTCTAGAATTTGATAAACAGCTGAGCAAGGATAAAAGTACGCATTGGAAAAGGTAATGATATCTGTCTTGAAACGAAGACATATTTCAAAACTCAAAGATTTGCTGCTGGAGCCACCTAACATCCAACAATCAAACTACCTTTTCTGCAAGTGGTACAACAGATCCTACTGGTGGGTGACTAAATTATAAAAGTGAGGAAGTTCTACTACAAATATCATGGGGATCTGGGTTTAAAGTGAGAAAATAAACCAAATGAGAAGTTAAGTCATGATTTTACTGAATGGCAGAGCAAATCTGAGGGGCTCGCTGAGCTATCTCTTCTCCAATGTTGTGCATTTAGCTACCACTGAGTTAAATACTGAGTCCATCAAACAACTTTTATGGTGTACCAATTCTCAGAATTGTTGGGACTCAATTACTCTCAAACATCAGCCTAGACTGGGCCCTCTTATAGAGGAATAATAGTAGGATATTCCTAGGCTTTGAAGTATTAGTTGCCCTTAGACCATAGTGGCTTTTAGTAATTTGTTACAGTAGAAATTTTAAAATATATCCTTCAATATGAAAGCAGCATGTGCATATGCAGCAAGGCCTGTAAAACATTGGCTTGGACTGATAAGTAACATGTAAGAATCAAGTCACACAAGTGCCAGACAACAACCATCTCCAAAAGAGAGAATCTAATCATGATCTGTAACGTGCAATAGCATTTTTAATCATTTATCCCCCATCATCAATATCCTGGGTGTTATCATTGACAAGACATTAAATTGGACCAGCTATACAAATACTGTGGATACAAGAGCAGGTCAGAGGCTAGGAACTCTCCAAAGCCTCTTCACCATTTATAAAGCCCAAATCAGTAGTGTTTGGAATGCTCTCCACTTACTTGGATGAGTGTGGTTCCAACAACACTTGAGAAGCTCAACACCATCTACACAAAGCAGCTCACTTGACCAGAACGTCACCCACATCTTCAACATTTACTCTGTCTACCACGGACACACATTCGTACCAATAGTTTGTAGTATGGTATATGCAATAGGTTACTTGAACAGCACCTTCCAAACCCACGGTCACTGCATGTAGTATGACATGTGCAGCAGATAAATGGGATTACCACCACCTGCAAGGACCCCCTCAGGGTACACAACACCCTGACCCAGAACTATATCCCTATTTCTTCATTGACTTTGGATCAAAATCTTCACCAGAGGTGCACTGATGATGTTCCTTAGCATGGTGACGAAATGTTTGCGAACAAACTTACCAGCTTGGTGAGCAAGACAACTACTGCAAGTAAAATATGCCACCAATTTTGAGTCTTCATCCCACTGCATTTCTCCCTTCAGTCTTCAATTTCCATCTGTTTTTATCTTCAGCTGAAATTGAAAGGATACGTTCCTGATGCTATTTTACAAAGCTAGTGGAATGATTTTCTTTAGAGACTTGTCTTCAAGGTTATCTTTAGTTGTCAGCTTTCTAGAGGTTGGCATGTTTGTACTCCTTTAACTAAAAATAACAGCACTGCACTAAGTTGACTTACACTGAGTGTACACTTTATTTATTCCAAAATTATGTGCATAAAGGAGAAATGGGAATTGGCAATAGACCTTTCAAACCTGCTGCAATTTGCAGTTAACCAAACCTCTTCCCAGCACTTCATAATTAGTTAATGTTTCCCTTCTTGCTGGCTAAATGGTTTAGATTTTGAGTCGAGGAATACTTAAGAAGCTTGCCATGATTAATTCCACAAACAGCCTGTCACAGGAGAAAACAAATGATGCCAGTCACATAATCAAAAGTTTCATAAAAATCAACCTGACAGCAGATCTTCTATCCTCGTTCCATGTTTATGGATTAAAGCAAATAATGCAGAAAAGAACACACACTATATCTAATGATTCATCATCTCCTCAGCTGTAGTCTTGTCATTTGCTTCCTGTTATGGCGAATTGATGCTAATTTTCATAAAATGGAAAGGACACTTAAGAAATAATTAAATCCCATATTTTACATTTGAAAAGCTTGGATCTTTAGAAGTCTTTAATTGCCCAACAATATTATACAATAATTTAATTTTAATAAATCAACCAAGGTTAATTCTGTAAAGGTAAATTTAATTTTGGATTATATTCTGTTGTAAGATAAAATACTTCACAAGGGACTGAAAATGTTTAGTTTGAAGGACCCAGGAGAAAAGTAACAGGCATTGTTCACAGCTATTTTGGTTTAAAAATTTGCACAATAGATTAGTTTCATTTTGCACCCAATTATTACACAGTAACAAAGGATTAAATGGGTTTTAAATAACATGGGTGAAAGATAATTGCAATTTGCTTTGCTACAAGCCATCTGAAGGTCCAAATTAATCAACTCCAAATTGTGTTTCATATATTGACCTTTTGAAACTTGAAGCCAAGTGCCAGAAGGATGCCTGAGTCTGTTGGCGAATGGAATTTGGGAATCAGAATAAGTCAGACATTCTTTGTCTAGAGGAACTGAAGTCATTTAAATTAAA